GGGAGAGGCATGCCTTCATTAGACTCATCCACAGGGGGCGCTGAGACAAAAGTTACACAGAGAGGGAGTGAGTTTTCGGGGGAAACAAGGAGGAAGGTAACTAAAGGTGGGCTTATTTGCCTGGTATCGACGGTGTAACCCTGTTAGCACACACAGGACAAACCTCGTGTGTGACAGGCATTGTGGCGTGAGTGACAGTGAGTGTTAGTTCCTGTGTGTGTTGATTGGGTGGAGGATGGTTAAGGGGGCGGTTGTCATGGGAGGAGAGTCCGTTCAGGAATTCCTCGGAGGATTCACCTTCTTGGCCCGTCCATGTCGCAGAAACCAATTACCGTGACCGTGTGGGTCTGTGTGTGTGGGTGACGGAGGGGAGGTCTGGCCACAAAATGGAGAGGACTTCTCCTAATCATCACACTCCGCTCCTGCACAAAGGCAACAAGGGCTGCCAGGACAATTTGAATTTCAATGGCGTCCCTTCTCCCGCTCTCTTATTTTCTGTGTCTCCCTCTTCCTCTTTCCTCACACCGGACGACAAAAGCGGGGCCAACAAAGATAGCACACAAAGCAATCAGGCTAATAGCGCTAATAACTAGAGTGTGGGGGTCCTCACTCTCAGTGTTGACACATTTCTCTGTTTCTGTGGCTAAACACAGGCTCAAGTGTTTGGCAACCAGACGGCAAAGTATTTTAATGGAGTGGCTGCCCCATGCCAGGTTGCCATGTGCGTGGTCTGTTTGACTGTGGACGAAGACAACAAAGACGACTTGGAGAAGAGGCAGGGAGAAGATAATTAACTGGAGGAGAAGTCTGAAGGGATTTTAGGGGGAAAAAAAACGTCACGAGGCCTGTTGGCTTTTTAAAATACCTTTCCTAACTAGACTCAAAGTTCTGTGGTTTTCCATGCGTCGTGTCAACAAACAGCAGGCGGTTCAAATCCGCGGTGGGCCACATGTGTCTGTGGCGTGTCTCTAAGTGGTTTACACATCACCTGTGTGGGTCCTGCCCCACAGATTGGTCCGTTTGTTATCTTTGACTCGTCAGAGTTGTCATCCGTGAAAACATGAACTCAAAACAAATGCTCAGAGCGGTTGGTTTAGTACAAAAAAAAAAAAGAAATCCCTCACCTGTCTGCTCCCTGCACCCAAAAAGGAAAAAAAAAACTACACATTCCTCTCTACATAATAGCTCTTTTCTGTCTTTTCTTCCTTTTTAAAGAACTCTACTTGTTTGAACAAAGACATATTTTAAGAGCCTTGTGAATGTGTGTGTGTGTGTGTGTGCACGATGTGCGTGCGAATTGGACGTGGCCATAGGGACGAATGCTTCGTTGCCCTCCCCTGTTATTAGGCCTGCCCTGTCATTATGGGATTAGAATGAAGGGGTTAGCTTTGCATGTGTGTGTGTGTGTGTGTGTGTGTATGTGTGCACACATGTATTTTCTCCCAGCCTATGATCATCTGTGGCGCTGTTTGTATTTTTTCAGATTTTCTCACACAGTTAGAGTGTGCAGAATGACATCGGCGTAAACCCTCCCACAAATGTTTGTTACATTAATCCCAGGTGCAGTGAAACGCCGTCGTAAATAACACTTAACGTAACCTGAAGACCGCTTTAGCAGGCGGAGAGTGACTCTCTAATTGAATAGCCTCCATAAGCAGCAAGAGGTTGAAAAACATTCCCCCGTGAACCACACGTCACATCCATCACGGCGCACGACTGGAAAACGCCAGCGCAGATTTAGAGAGAGATAGTCGAGTAAAAGAAGGCTGTGATGGGAGGGGAAAAAAAAAAAAGAAACTCAAAAAAATCCAGGAGGTCAGAGGAGTCACTTCCTAGAGGACTTTCAAGAGAATGCACTCAGAGTGGGTCTCTAATAAATAGACTGAGGAAAAGCAAAATAATGGGAATGGCCCAGGGAAGGAAATGAAGGATTTGCCCCATTATTTTGTGAAACTGATGGGGGAATAAGAGTGAAAGTAGACATGGGGTCAAAGTTCACGCACAGAGGATGGACAAAGCAGCAGTTGCTACAGATCAAAGGCTGCCTTTAACATCTACTACACTTAACTGCTATCAAATATGAGATCATACAGATGGATTTACCGTCTGTGTTGAGGTGAAAGCTGTTGGAGCTAAAAGGCAAACAGCAGCAGTTTTTCTTTGCGTTGGGAAGGGTCACGCAGTAACACAGGATATTTGTCCATGAACTGGTCCCTCTGGTTTTCTGGCTATTTTCCACTTCATCTTTGTCGACCCTAATATGTTTGAAGCATTTGTTCCTTTTATGAGCATTAAAAAAACCCCATTGTGTACCTTTATTATTCTCTTTTTCCGTTGTAGTCTCACAAAAACAAAGTCCCACAAAACAGGTGCTTTGTCCACGGTCACTTTGTCTTTTTTGTGTGTGTACCCACAGAGACACACACACACACATTCATAATGCGCAGAACCAAATGACATCGGCCACCCGCATGCACATGCACACACAGAGGGAGTGTCTGGGTCAGGTGGGGGTCATTCAGTCCTTTTGCTCTGGACCATTGACTCAGGATTGGAGCTCGGCTTTGGACACAATACAGGGCTTTGCCACAAACACACACAGTCAAGTTAAACAAAGTGAAACAATGCAGATGCATCGAGATGTGAAGGGTGACTGCCGTACAACACTCCCAAACGATCCCACTGTCCCAACCATACGGTCACAGGTGTGTGTGTGTGTGTGTGTTTCCTTCTCTTACTCTCCTTTAACTCTTTGGTCTGTTTTGTATTTCATTATTTTGCCGTTTTCAAACTTCTAATGACAAGCCATTGTGCTGCACACAAGCCTTGTAATCATAATAATAAGCAGCAGGCAGCAGAGGTGGCATCAGCACAGGTGGTTTACCTGTGCGTATGATGCTGATGGTTTATGTCCCAAATCACACGCTGTCATCGCGTGACTGAGGGGAATTTCTGCGGGCTACACGCTCCGACCCAGTTTCAATAATAACTGTTTTCAGTTTGAGGGATAAATGTTCAGCTTTACTGTCACCTTGTGACGTAAAAGAAGTACAGTATGGAAATAGAGGAAAAGAAAAATGTTTTGCATCAACGGAAAATGCCCTCAGTCTTTTTTTAGGGGCCACATAAAGACGATGATGTTTTCAAATAATAATAAAAAAGGAAGAAAAATACGGAGGAGTTTTTTTTCTATACACTGCTATGTTGTTGTCAAAGTGAGTGTAACTACCTCAGGACTGTCCTGTCCTATTGAGTTTTTCATATATTTATTGGGTAAACACCAGCAAATGTAACTCCTGGGATTCAGAATGTTCTTCTGCATTCACAGCTGAAGGGGCGGGGCCCCGGAGGGTAGTCTCCAAACAGTTAGCCAATCCATTATATGAATATTGGAAAAACCCCAGACAGAAAGTTATAAAATTTAATTTTTCAGCCAAATTCTGCCTCCACATATGCATAAATCCCAGGGACATTTCCAGTGAAACAGTTCTCACCGTTCCAACAGGCCAGAGACACGTCAAATATTTCGGTGGGTTATGGGAAGATGTCACCCGTTGGCTGCCTCTCCCCAGGAAGTCATTTTTTTTCACCAGTGTAATAGGCACATACACATGTCAGAGACACTGTCACCCCGAAATATGGGGTTGGAATTTAGTGGGAATTCCGACTCGTAGAGTACTTCACACAGCTACACTTATTTCCAGACACAGTTTGAGGGTGTTTGCATTTGTCACAGTCGGTGTTTCTCAGTGCGGCAGTAGGGGGAAAAGGCACTTGTTGCAGGGATGGCAACAACACGG